ACGGATGTCAACCTAACGTGTCTTAAGAAGACTCAATAAGACTATGCACCAATGCTCATATTAACCCTTGATGAGGCAATACAGTAGGCAGAGGAAAGCCTCAATGTGAGGAAAAATATTGAGAGGTATCACATTCCCTCTGTTAGGGGTTTCACCAAATCATGAAACTAAAGATCACTAAGGCCCTTCGCTGGATCAAATGTCAGACTCTGGAGATCCTCCATGGTGGGACACACCCTACCTAGAAATTATAGGGGAGATTGGCTGGGAGTCTGGGGGTCCTGGTGGCAAGGACAGGGCAAGATGGAAGGGAGAGGGATCTGGGGTTGACATCTGAAACAAGCGTTTTTCTAACTTAAATAAAAAAGGAAAAGAAAAAGCAAACACATGCAGTTGAAATATTTTATACCCATGCAGTTTCCTTCATTAATCCTTTTGTCTCTGTGAGCCCCTTTGAGCCCTGTTCAGTTATTCTGTGGGGCATATCTTCCTGGGGTCCTTGAACCCAATTCTTCCTATTATTATTTCTTCTGTTCTTATGTCAAATTCCTTGTTCTCTGCCTAATGTCTGGTTGTGCTTCTCTTCATCTTCTCCCATCAGGTCTGTGGGAAGGCTTTGTAATGGTGGTTAGTCTAGGTACCAATCTATGAATATAGTAGAGAAAATGAATAGAAATTATTCATTCATTCATTTATATATTTATTTATGTGTGTAATTATTTATTTGCCAGTTGTGTTTGCATGCAGTGTTGTGCATGTGCTCCTCTTGGCAATGCCACAGGTTAGAACAGTGGTTGACCATTCCAAAAAGATCTAACTACCCTGGTGCCAGCAGGCCTTTAAGATAGGGTAGATATCAAGTCAAATATTTTGTTATGGTCATATTTTCTCATGATATAACAAAGAAAGTTCCCCTGAAGATCAGTGTGCAAAGCTAGCCACAGCAGATAGGCATAAAGGCCAGGGAATGGTGGCACACACATTTAGTCTTAGTTGCCATACTAGGTATCCATACAGTCCAAGCAGTGGTGGTACACACCTTTAGTCCCAGCACTGAGAGATATAGGCAGATGGATCTCTGTTAGTTCTAGTCCTCCCTGAACTGCTTGAAATTGATCCAGCCTGAAAGAGAAACAGAGCACACACAACACAACAACGACACAGGCAATAGATAATCCCACTTTATCAAACACCAAAAGAAAATCAGAGGAGAACCTACACACAATAACTCCAGTACAAATAAATCAAGCACAAACAAGGATCATCAATCAATGGTCATTCATATCCCTCAATGTCAACTGTTTCAACTTGCCTATAAAAAGACACAGACTAGCAGAATGGATACAAAGACAGAATCCATCCTTCTGCTGCATACAAGAAAAACATCTCAATGTCAAAGACAAGATGTTAGCTCAGAGTAAAGGTTTGGGAAAAGATATTTTCAATCAAACAGACCCAAGAAACAAGCGGGTGTAGCAATCTTATATATCTAACAAACTAGACTTCAAATTAAAATTAATCAAAGTGATGAAGAAGGACAGTTCATATTCATCAAAGGAAAAGTCCAACAAGATGAAGTCTCAATTTTTAACACCTCTGCCCCAAATACAAAGGCAACCACATTCGTGAATGAAACATTACTAAAGCTCAAATCGCATATAAAAACTTACAGGGTAGTAGTAGGAGACTCAATACTCCTCTCTCACCAATAGACAGGACCTCCAGACAGAAACTTAACAAAGAAGTTCTAGCTACAGCAATAAGACAAAAAAGGAGATGAAGGGGATACAAATGGAAAAGAATTCAAGCTTTCACTATTTGCAGATGATATGATAGTTTATATAAGTGACCCAAAAATCTCCGCAAGGAAACTCCTAGAGCTGCTTAACCCCTCCAGCAAAGCGGCAGAATACAAGGTTAACTCAAAAAATCAGTGGCCATTTGGGGACAACAGATGTTAGCCAGAGACTCACTTCCCCATCAGCCTGGCACCAGGCAGCTTTAGACAATGTTTACTAAAAACGTGTTTCAGTGGGTTTCTCTAGCCTTGTCTTGAACCCTTTGTTCATCCCTCTCTGCAACTTGATTCCAGGAATTCAGCTCAGTGTTTAGCTGTGGGTGTCTGCTCCTGCTTCCATCAGCTACTGAATGGAGGCTCTAGCATGGCATAAAATGTAGTCATCAATCTCATTATTGGGGAGGGCATTGAATGTAGATGCTGTACTGTTGCTTAGATTGTTAGTTGGGGTCATCCTTGTAGATCTCTGGACATTTCCCTAGAGCCAGATTTCTCTTCATACCTATAATGACTCCCTGTATTATAGTATCTCTTTTCTTGCTCTCCTCTAATGGTCCCCTGATTCAATCTTAAAAAGCATGTCTTCACCGCACCTCCCTCTCAAGGCTCATAAATCTGTGAGAAAGAGGGGTGGGTGAATGCAAGGAAACAGTGCATTGCAGACACAGCAGCACTGATATACATATGAGCTCATAAAGACTGTGACAGCATGGTCAAGACATGTACAGGTTCAAACCAGAGAAATTCAAAGTACTGAAAATGGTAAGTAGACACGATGTTCCTCCCGTAACCAAAATCCTAATTGCAACTGATAACTGCTGAGAAAGAGAAAATCGGTTTTCTCCAAGATGTCACTGTCTATATCAACCACACTCCAAGACAATCCCATGCCCAGGAGGAGCTAGCCCACAAAAATGCACTCTGTGTTTTTTGTGTATGTTTTGTTTGCGTATATTTGACTTATTGTTTTTGGTTTTGTTGCTGTTAGTTGTTATTTTCCTTTCTTTTGAAGGAGAGAAAGAACATGAAGTTGGCAAGTAAGGAGGATCTGGGAAGAGTTGAGAGAAGGGAATAATATGATCAAAATATATTGTATGGAAAAATTTAGACAAAAAAGAGATAAAAATATTTGGCCTGTACTGGCATGCTTGTGAGAAGTCAACTAAAGATCAGCCATAGAAAACTAATCCTTGCCAATCAGTGGTTGCACATACCTTTAATTTTATCACTCAGGAGGCAGAAGCAGACTAATCTTTGTGAGTTCGTGGCCAGTATGGTCTACATAGTATTTCCAGACTGCCATGGCTTTCACACAGAGACACTTTTTCACAAAAAAATTAATAAAATAAAATATTGAAAAGAGAGTGAAATCTAAGACTGTACTGAGAAGAGATTTCTCAGTAGCTCATAAATAATAGCACAAATAATTACATGATTAGACTAAGCCAGAGAACTTGTTGTGTTATTTCTCTAAGAACTGACCTGTTTAATTATCCAGATGATTTTTATTAGTAAGTATTTGTCATATTTGAAATAAGTATAGAAGTTGACATTCACAGACATACAGAAATTAATTAACAGTACAATGTCTAATCCTTAGAAATCAAAGATTTTAAACTTCAGAGTGACTCAAAAACCAAAGAAATATTCTCTCGAATAGATGTGCACTAAAATGTTCATCCTCAAGATTATGTCCATTTTTAATGACCTCTTCTGTTTTTTCATACATGTTTCATCTCTTGTTTCACTGGCCAATGTGTCTGTTCTCAATACCCAGCAATTTGGGATTATTTGACATTCAGCTCTCTATTCCTCATATCAAATTAACTAATAGTATATTTTAATTGTACTTAGTGCCACAAAAATGAGTTAAAAATATCAAATACAATAGTAACTTGATGCTTTTACCTCCTTAATCAATAACAAAAAATTAAAACTCTTAGATTCATTTTCATGATGCTTAAATATGAATGTGCAGGAAAGAATTCATCTGCAGGTCACTGAAGGAAACTAGAGAGGATCATTAGTTCGTCGAATAATTAGGATTTCGTTAGTCCAGTAAAATATCAAAATAATGTAGTTTGACACATACACACACACACACACACTGCAGCCCTAACACGTTTTCTACATAAGCAAGGTACTTGATCTAAGTAGGGTTTGCCCTTAGTGGAGAGTACAAGGTTCTCACAAATTATTGCAATCTTATCTTTTAAATATAAAACACAGATTGACATTTATTCTACATCCACCGTTTTATTATATTTCCATCCATTGTTTCTATTTCTATAGAATTTTGTAAAAATAAAAATAGAAGGCATGAGTACTTTCTGTATTAATTTCTACACTTTATACTTTAGCAGAGTTTCCCTTACAAAGAATATCATAACATACAATTGCAAAGGCTTTCGACATTTACATGTTAAATGGCATAATACTATTTCACTCATATTTTATGACAGCTTTCTCCATGATTTTCCTCATGACAAGCAATTGTAACTGGTCTTAATAGCCATTTGTTTTAGATAATGCCCATTTTGTCTCTGATTAAAAAATTTGATTACACTTTCCTGAATCTGCTTGTTCTTGACTCCATAAACATTTGGGGTCATGGTAGGGGGAAGTAGCAGGTAGAGGTTGGCCACTATGATGTGGATGTGGTGGGGAATGATGTATCCTCCAAAACGATGAGTGAAGAAGGTACATAAAGCAGGCACATAAGTGATCACAGTAGCACAGATGTGAGATGTACAGGTGCTAAAGTCTGTATGATGAGCATCTGCAGAGGACAGACTCACCACTGCTGGCAGTAACATAGTGTAAGACACAGAGTTACAGCAAATGTCAAACATACCAATTAGTAGAGTAACCATAAGACCACAGATTGCATTCACTTTGGCATTGCCAGAGGATACCTTAGCCACAGACATGGGATCACAGTAAATGTTAGAGATAAGGGTGACTCGGCAATAGGGCAAGCGCTTAGTGAGGACAGTGAATGGAAACAGGAGCAACACATTCCTCAAGAAAGTAGTAAGACCAGCTTTGACAATCACAGTGTTTGTGAGAATAGTGGTATAACGCAGAGGATAGCAGATGGCTACATAACGGTCCAGGGCCATGAGCATGAGGACACCAGATTCCATTCCAGTCAACATGTGGACAAAGAACATCTGAACCAGACAAGAATTAAACCCAATCTCCTTGAAGTTGAACCAGAATAAGCACAGCATATTGGACACAGTGGTGGTACACAGGGTGACATCAGTGAAGGAGAGTAAGGCCAGGAAATAGTACATGGGACGGTGCAGAATCTCCTCCTGTC